AAAAAAAAAAAAGACTATCCACTAGTTAAAACAAAAACACAAGAAACGTAAGGGAGAAGGGAGTAAAAATCAAATCTAAAATGAACAAAAACAGTTGTTATTCAGTCAACAGTTTATTCCAATGGCATACCTTCTGTCTCTCTTATGTCTAGAACCTTCTTAATTTGAGAAAGAGGCATTAGGTGAATATGCTTAAGAGAAGCTGGAGGTCGAGTATGGCCGTGAGGACTCCTGAAAGTCCCAATAACCTTGTGTCGTTTTCTTGCTATCTGATTATAGAGGAGAAAAAAAGTAAGTCAGAAATATGAAAATGAACAATGACAAAATAAGAAATGGCACAGTCACATAAATCTGTAAGAGCTCACAGGAGCTCATTTGACTTAGTCATTCCAGAATTAATGTGATAAAAAGCAAAGTTACTATGTGACACATTTTTATGTATAACTTAACAGAACTGCTCCAATTTACATGCATAGAACTCAAGTCAGGAAACAAGCCAAGGGATAAAATCTTTGCAAAAGGTCCCAGAGGAATGAAAGAACTTAGAAGCATGGTGCTAAGAAGAAGGATCAAAGGACAGAGAAATATTGAATTCAGGCAAGTTGCTTTGAAATCTCTGTACTGTATTCAAAAGATAACATATATCAGTTTAAGAGAATTCAAAATTATCTCAACTCTTATATGAGGCACTGAGGATTAAGGAGACACATAAAAATCATTCTGGATATCATATATATATATATTATTAAGAATCAGGAAGATGAAAGAACTAAACAACAGATTAAAAAAAAATAGTACAAATTATAAACTCTAGGTGCTACATTAACATATAACACTACCTAAAGTAGGAACTCATGTAAAAAGAATAGGTAAAGTAACAATGGAAAAGACCGGAACAAAATCAGCACTTTTATAATTCATGATGTACTTGAGTTCTGTGAATTTTTTTTTAAATATATTGTTTTCATTTCCATAAAAGCTGAGGATACTATTTTTGCCTTTTTCAAAAGAACATTTTTTTTTCATTTGTAATTATCAATTGAAAAACATTAACGCAAAATGAACTAGATTAAGTTACTTAATGAATTGATATTGACTGGTTACAACATGAATATGACAAAGTATGGCTGGAAATATACTACCTTGCATTGGGTAATGAGAAAAGATCAGAGGGTAATCATATCATGTTCACACTGAAGCAGAAATACGACATAGACCTATGCTAAATATCAAATATGAAACATTCATTTACATTAACAAAGTGAAACTAAGCAAGAGTTCTTCATTGAATGTTTCTACCATAATATCTGAATATCTTAAAATTAATTTCCTATGCAATATAAATGAAGTTTTTTTTTAAAGACTTATTTATTTGCGCATACAGAACTGGGGTACAGTCCAGAGGTGCAGGGGCAATGAGAGGATTTACCAGAGACAAAAGAAAAAGCAGATCAATGAAGTACACTGCTGAGGGGAGCAGCAGGCAGGTCAACAGAGGTCTGCAGCGCCATGTGGATCACCTCTGGGACAAGCGGGGATCTAACTCATGAAGAAGTGTCTTTCACTTCCTAGTGCTGTGCTTTAACCTGCTGCGCCACCAGGGAGGGCCCCTGAAGTTAATATTTAAAAAGGAAACTGGGGGCACTCCCTGGTGGCACAACGGGTTTAAAGCACAGTACTATGAAGCTCTCTGAAGCCACTAGAGCACAAGTTTGTTCTCCGGCCAGAGAGTTGACCCCCATGGCGTGACAGACCTCTCCTGACCCACCCACTGCTCCTCTCAGCAGTGTATTTCAGTACATCTGCCTGCTCTGCTCCCTATTCTGTCTCTGGTGAATCCTCTCTCTCCCCACACCTCTGGCTTGTATCCCGGTTCTGTAACCATAAGTAAATCAATCTTTAAAAAAGAAAAAAAAACAAAAGGAAACTGGTAAGTGTTAATATTGATAACGTCAATGCTATTACATCAAAGTAAAAACAAAACATAGACAAGAAAGAAAAAGAAAAATATATCCTTAAATCTTAAATTAGTTCAATTTCAGAAAATCACTTATCAAATTTAAGACAAGTCATTATAAATATTACCTATCTTAAAATGTTTCTTTTATCATACTCTTCATTCCAAATATGCTTTTAAAAAAATACAAACAGGGCCCTCCCTGGTGGCACAGCGGGTTAAAGCACTGCACTAAGAAGCTCAAGCCACTTCCGCATGAGTTCAATCCCCACTTGCCTGGAGGTGATCCACATGGCGTGGCAGACCCCTCCTGACCCGCTCCCCTCAGCAGTGTACTTCATCTATCTACCTGTTCTGCTCCCCGCTCTGTGTGTGGTGAATCCTCTCACCATCCCTGCACCTCTGGCCTGTACCCAGTTCTGTATCCATAAATAAATAAATCTTAAAAAAAAAAATACAAACAGCTTACATTAAGAGTTTAGGATTATAAATCTAGAGGTACAAAGTTAATTTTAAAAATAGAACCACTTCAATTAATGTGATTCTGAGACTAGGGAATGCTGAGAAAGAGTACAGCACAAAAGCCACTGAATTCAGGACAGCAAAGGAGGTAAGAGTCCAGGGTATCACATAATAGACTTAGAAGCTACAAGGAATGACCAGTGGCAGAAATTAAAGTGGAGAATACATTTATAGAATACTTCACAGACTTTTAAGGATGAATAAGATCAAAAATGTAAAGAAATCCATAACTCTAATTAGAATAAAGAAGATAAAATCAAAACATATTAGCAAGGAAGTATTGAAAACCCAATCTAGGTATTTCAAGAAGAAAAACCTGTAATAATAACAACAATAACACAATATAAGCACTGAGTAACCAACTACAGTGAAATCCCATCATGATGCAAATTCAGATAAAATTATTGAACACTGACTCTACCTTGCTTCTGTTTTCAAAGAGAAAGCAAGCTACAGCTGTTATTATGGAGACAAGTAGTTCAGAATTATCTGCCTCGTGACTTTTTATGCCTTTCTCAGTTCAGGGTATGGTCAATTGATACAGTACTTTCACTCTTGTGTTTGGTGACATTAATGATTAAATGAAAATATCACTTTTCATTAATCTCATAAAAACAAAACTCTGCATTTAATGCAAGTAATTTTGAGATTTTATTACACCTATAATTGTAAATGACTTGTTCTCTAAGAATCTAATAATGTACATAATAAAATAGAACTGCAAGAAAAGTAGAACAGGATAAAAGAAAAAGGTACAGAAATTTATTGAAAAAGGAAACCCATCAAATAACTTTAAAGAAACAACAAGAAGCTATGGTAAAGCTATGGTATGTCAAGTGAATCTTCTGGCTAATGTATGTCTTATTAAAGTGAACACCTTTCTCTTCTGTGATGAAGGATAATATATTCCTGTACATCCCTCTTAGACTGTTTACAGTTGTTTAAAGATACACTATTAAAAGATTCATAAAAGAGTTGAAAAAGCACAATAATTTCAACTGTCCACAGGGGCAACATGGAGAAAATTTTTGAACTTTACTAACTCACTCTAAAATCAAGTGATTTAAGTTAGAATCAGAGGTTCTTAAGTCATATTATTATATAATCAAAGTTATCTTCATCTTCATCAAAACAATGACTTTTTGGAAAAATCTACTTAAATTTTAAAAAGAAATGGTCCCAATTATTTGTGAATATTAATATAGATAGAAGCTCTTAAAAGTCTTAAGCTAAGCGGTGATTTGCATGGAAGTAAATTTCATTTCTACTTGGATTTGAGGACATGGTAAATTTATCATGCTTTTTAGTATTAAGTTTCCTAAAAACACTTATTAGAAGTCTAACACCCAACAATTTGCCTCAATCAAAAATATGAACTTATTTGAGTATGTTTTACTCTGATCGTATATATTATACTCCAAAATTTGGTTTTAAACATTCAATAAATCATACAAATCAGCAATGTCAATTATACTATATTAAGTACAACTTTACCTCTAGGCAGTCATTGAAGAGAAAGAGAGTTACTTGTTCTCCTCTGTCACACGGGTGCTCACCTAAAGAAATTGTTTCAACTCTTTGTATTAAACTTCGGTGAGAAGACAAAAGATTAGCCTGTGTAGATTGAAAACACACATAGCAAAATATCACTTGGTGGCAATTTTAAAATTTAAGAGAAAATGAAATAAAGATTTCATTTATAGTAAAACTGTGGAATCTAAATAACAATAAAGAGAAAATAAATTGACAATTATAAAGAAAAGGAATACGGCCCTCCCTGGTGGAGCAGCGGGTTAAAGCACTGCATTAAGAAGCTAAAGCCACTTCCGCATGAGTTCAATGGCGTGGCAGACCTCTCCTGACCCGCCCGCTGCTCCCCTCAGCAGTGTACTTCATCGATCTGCCTGTTCTGCTCCCCACTCTGTCTCTGGTAAAGCCTCTTGCCACTCCTGAGCCTCTGGCCTGTACCCCAGTTCTGTATGTACAAATAAATAAATCTTTAATAAAAAAAAAAAAGAAAGAAAAGGAATACTTACTGGACATCCATCTACTTCATAAACAACATCAAAAATTTGTTTTTGGGCTTCTGTTTTTCTTTTATCCTCATTAATATGCCTGAAAAATTAATAAGGCTATTTTTAAAGCCAAATCTCTTTTCACGAAAGCCCTCCCATATGAATCTGTTACTTTTGGTAACTGAATCAGTTAAAATATTTTTTATAAATATCCCACTACACTGAAAATATCTATAGAATGTTTTAGTAAAGTATTTACATATTCATTATGTACTTCCTAAAATACAATAAATATGTACACACTTTAGGTTAATATAAGCTCTAACTATAAGTCAATGAAGATTTTATGCAAGTTATTCCCAAGTCCAAAGTTTAATCATTTCATTGAAACAAAAACTAAATCCAATGCTTACAGACAAAATGGAGTAAAAAGGAAATATCCTTCTGCTTGAAACAAATTTTAAAAAAACCCATCAATATACAAAGAAACGAGTTCTCAAGGCCTGCAAGTCATTTCCTATATATAAAGACATATAAGAGATATACTTAGGCTGAAAGTAAAACAATGGACATACTCCCCCCAAACACAGAGAAGTTAGGCCATAAAATAAATCTCAAAATATGTGAGAGGATCAAAATAATACGAAGTATCTTCAACTACCACAGTGGAATGAAATTAGAAATTAATAAAAGGAAACTTTAGAAATTCATAAATATATGAGAATTAAACAACAAATAACCAAGGTATTAAGAAGAAATCATGAAGGAAATTAGAAAATACTTTTAGACTTAAAAAAAAAAAAACCAAAAAACCGCAAACCAAACTTTATAGGCTACAACCAAAGTAACATCTAGGGAAATTTATAATTATAAATGCATGTAGTAAGAAAAAGAGCTCAATACAATAACCTAGCCTTATAACACATAAAATAACTAAATCCAAAATCAAAAGAAGGGAATAATAAAGATTAGATTGGAAATTAATAAAAGGATATAAAAACAATGGGGAAAAGTGGCAAAGCCAAAATTGGTTCTCTGAAAAGATTGATCAGTAAAATTGACAAACATTTACCTAGGTTGAAAAACTAAAAAGAGAGGGAGAAAGCTGAAACTGATAATAGGCTAGGGAAAGGCACAATACTTAGTATAGAAGTCTGCACTTACATAGCATAGGTTGCACATATGCACAGTATGATTAATTATCTAACTTTTTTTTAAAACTAAAACTATTATTTTGAACTAAAATTCCTACCCCACAATGCCTAAATGAGTACTGAACATTGACGCCATCAGACATACCAGGGTCAAGATAAACAGGAAGATGTAACAAGTTTTGGGGCTGAAGGTGACGAATACCAGTCAACTGTGATGGAATATTCTTTCTGATGGACTGCTTGCTTATGAGTCTTTGCTTAAGTGATTATGAGACGGCCAGCTTGAGATGGGATGCTGGAACAATCTGTCTGTCTGTATTTGTCTGTTTCTGTTCATTATTCTCTCAGATCAATAGATATGTCAGAATAGGTCCTTCAGAGTGATATGCCTACCATTCTCAGACCACTGGAGATCTAAATAAATGTGCTGCTTAGAGTTTCAATTCCTGTCTCTACTCATTGGCTTTCTATAGTGACAAACAGCACCAGAATCCAGGCCTATTCTATTAACAAAACTACAAAAATTAGGAATAAAGTATAAGTAATTACTACATACCTTAGAGAAGCAAAGTACAATATAAGAACAACTTTATCAACTTAGTAAATAGCTTAAATCAATAGACAAATTTCTATAAAGAAACCAATCACAGAAACTCACTCAAGAAAAAGATAATAGATCTGTAAGAACAATTAGTAATTTGAAATTTTCTTACAACAAAAAACCCAATTCTGCCAAATAACTGAAGAATTAATACCAATTTTTCACAAAGTCTTCCTAAAAATTAATAAAGGAACTACAGCCCAACACCAAACAAAGAAATAAGAAAACTATAAATTGGCCATCTTTTATTTATGAATATAAGCACAAAAATCTTCAACAAATATTAACAAACTGGATGATAAACATTCACGATACAGTCAAAAAACAAAACAACTGTAACCACTCCAGAAGCTGGTATTTAGTAAACAGCATTAGTGTAAATGTTGGACTTTCTCTCACTACAGTTATTCAAGTTTCTAAAGGATTGTCTGCTTTTCTGCAAGTACTTTAAAAAACTTGAGTTCGCATAAAATAAACACCTGTAGAATTTCAAAAATGACTTAATTAAATGTATTTAAGACTTGCCATGTAAGTCTTAGGACTTTACATAGTAACAGTGTTTTCAATTCTGATCTTAATAGTTAGAAATCATTTCTAATGAGAGCTAAGTCTTAAATGACTAGTAAGTAGCCTGAATTTAATCATCAAGCTCCCCATATTTCAGTTTCACTGAGTTTATAAATTTAATACATCTCCAACTAATCTTATAATTTCATAAAATTTAAGGTATGAAATAAAAATATATAAAACTTTTTATTGTACTGTGTCCAAATTCCCAAGTTACATTTGAATAGTTTACATTAATTGGAAGTTAGAGGTGGACACACTGAGCATGTATTAATGTATCTGTAATATATTCTGATTTTAAATCATTTTAGTTTCTTTGCATCATAGCTTACTATCTTCAGCTGGTTTTGATTAATGTATTCATAAAACTCTTATTTAAATATCTAACTACACTACTAGAAAAATAATTTAGGTATTAGCTTACAAAATTTTGCTACCAGTATTTTTCTTCCCATTTATGGCTATCAATTCCATTCTAAATCTTAGGAATAATAAAAATTGAAATCATGCACTTACGTCATGACCTCCTTTAGTGATTCAATAGCTTTCTCTAGAGTACATTTATCAGGATTTTCTTCAGCTGTATGCTTCTTAAGATCTGTAATGATAAAAAATTCTTCCTATGACTGCCAGAAATTCAATCATTTTCCATCTAAGACTTAAAAATCAAAATAAACCAAAAAAATGCTGTCCATTTTAACATACAGGCTGATTAATTTTCAAAGACAGTATCTAACATTTACTTTAAAAAAAGCTTTGTTCATTATTCCCTTAAGAACTCTCTCCTTACACGTTGATATTTCCACATCATTTATGACTAAATTTAAATATACATGTATTTTCAAAACACATATACTACATGTGTTTGTATAAGATATACAGATTTTCATACATGACTGCTCCAATTTCCTTCCAGTAAATTCTGGGAACCCTTAAACTCTTCACCTTATATATATGTTGAATGAAAATACATAATCCAAATAGCTGAAAAATTATGCATGTTGTATTTCATATTGCAGCCCCTGGCTCCAACACAGAGAGCATTCAATGTTCTTAAGAGCTGGTTTTGTTTAGTGTAGACATTCATAAAATACTTATACTCTGATTCTTCTTACCCAGGTTGTTTTGTAATGCTTTCTATGCCATGTTCTATCTAATGGCTCCCTAATACCATCTCCACCATAGCTTTTCAAGGGCTAGAACAAATGCTTAGACATGGAATTCATTTTAATAATGACATTTGATGGAGTTCTACAAGTACTTAGTGGAACAATAATGAAGATAAGAAATAAGAGGGGGGAAAAAAAGACACTACTCAGCTCAGTAAAGTTGAACGATTTCTTTGTTTAGATGACAGGATCAAGAAGTTGTGGCATATATACACAGTGGCATACTAATCAATCAAAGCAAACAAAATGCAGGTCATTTGCAGAAACATGGACGAAGCTAGAAGATATTATGTTCAGTGAAATAAGTAAAAAGGAAAAAGAAAAATATTGGATGGTTTCACTTACAATAGGAAAACAGGGAAACTAAGCAAGGAGTCAGGGAAAAAAAGACAAAACTATTATAAATCTAAGACATACAGCAAGCGAGGGGGACAAAGAGGTATTGAAACAGTGGAGAGAAAGCAGAAGGAACTATGGTAAAGGTTCATGGTTAATGCTGTGGGAGTTTTATGGGTAGTTTACCTGAGAAAGGAAATCAAATATTTGTACAAAAATGAACAAAGAGAAACATAAAGCCACAATGCTAAAATAGAAAAAAAAAGTTTGTTTATATATTCTCTTTATAACTTGTAAAACAGGATAGCTCTTAATGATGGGAAATCATTTTATACGTTAGTAATTCTTAACTTCATTAGATAACATTAAGGAGAATAAATAATCAAATTTTTAAGCTAGTACTGTTATTCATACTCTAACCAAAATACTGGATAGCTACAAAGTTGGCCTCCTTATTTGCTATGTATATACTACTGCAGTTGAACTGAAAGGTACAAGATCAAAATGCTTTATTACTACTGCGTTTTTCCTGTTCATTTTTTTTATTTTTCATATTTAATTTCAAAATATAAAAACTGACAGTGTCATAAAAATACTCATTACTTTAGTTAGCTAAATGTAAAGGCATATACATGTTCTTTACTTTCACTGCAAAGTTTTTTTAATAGAAATAAATACTCTGCTGTGAAACTTTCTTCTATTACTATTTAAAGTGTAAATTCTAAAATAAACATTCACATTGCAGTATTTTTCTGTACAATCTAAGAGGTTAAAGTAGCATAAGTCCAAGTATAAACAACTTTACTGTAATTCAGAAAAAGACTAAATAACTGGAAACAAATGATTTACATTTTATATTATAATTTTGTAGGTGAATTTTGTGCTTACCTAGATGTAAACTGATTTTGAATTATGACACACCACAAAAAATAGGAAGACTCAGTGCAGAGAGAAAATGTATTAATACTAGTAAATATACCTGATTATCAGAACAAATAAAGCACTTTTAGATTTTACAGCACCAATGAGTACAATTATTCATAAACATAATAAAATATAAGATATAAATTTTAATATTGAAATCTATGAAAATGACAAGTTCAACTTTTTTAGAATATAATAATCCCACAAACATAGTCCAAAACCTGCAAACACACAAGATAAGTACCATTTAAAAGTAACACAACACTGGGTAACCTCTGAACGGGTCGAATGAGAAGTTCAGCAAGGCTCTGTCGTCCACATTCTGGTTTAGCTTGGTTTATCTGAAAGAGAGAAATTTATTCAACAATTAAAACAAAAAGGTTTTCTGTGAAGATCAGATACCCTACATTTATTAGATAGCACTCCCACAATAAGTGTCCAATAAGAACAAATAGGATAAAAGAGGTGGTGGCTATTCTCTGATAAATTACTGTGGATGAATAATCTTCCAAGGTCTGGAATGATCTACTAACCAGCCAAGATTTAACACCTTAAACTTAAAATAAGTTCCTCTACACATTCAAAAAAATTTCCTTTTAGGATTCTCTTAAGTCTGATACGATGGATAAAAAAAGGACACTATTGGGGGGAAAAATCATTAAAAGTAAAACAATATTTCATTATAAATTTTGATATTTGAGAACTAAAGCGTATGTAACTTAAAAAAAAAAAATAATAACCATATACAACACTCTCATTTTCTAAGAGGTCTCTTGTACCCTACTAATAAACACAGCATCAAATTTTCTGAGGTTAACAATCACTGCCACCAAACAACTAAAATTAATAGTTAACATTAAGGTGTTCCTACATGGATATATTTTATTAACAGTTTTTATTTAACTCTTTGTAATTTTAATGAATTCTTCCAAAAACTACTCAAATTTTCAAATAAAAGTGACAGTACCTTCAGAAAAGCATGAAATCGTGGTTTCTGTTTTTCACATTTAATAATTGTTTCCTTGCTCATTTCAAAGAAGTTTACAAAGGGAGGGTAGGTTTTTACCAAATCTTTTGACTAGGAATAAGAAAAAAATCAATCTGTTATGCATGCTATCCTTAGATAATGAAACTTGAAAACTAAATAACCAATGGTCACATTCTAAAAGTGGATGCAAAGTTTAAAGTAAGTTCTGCTCAAGGTTAAATACAGAATTTTTTAAAATAAAATTCTCATTAAAGAGTTAACTGCTCAACAGAATCAAAGACTAGTACACAATCTAAACCTGAAAAGCAAAAAAATACAGAGAGAAATAAAAAATGCATTAAAGCTTGGCCTGCCTGGTGGTGCAAGGGGTTAATTTTCAGCACTACAAAGCAATCCACTCCCAGGGAGGTGACCCACATGGTACAGCAGACCTCTCCTGTCACTTCTGTGGCTCTCCTATTTCAGAAGATCTGTCTGTCTGAACCACACTCTGTCTCTGGTGAATCCTCTCATCATCCTGAACCTCTAGCCCACACCCCAGCTCTTGTATGCATAAATAAATAAATCTTTAAAAAATACATTTAAGATTTAGTACATTTTTTCAGATCACTGAAAACAAAGTTAATGTCCCACAAGCTAAAGAACTCAAATTTACAAATCCAAGTCACAGCACCTTTTCAAAATGAATTTACTTTATTTGATAAACTTAAGCTACATGATTCTTACCCTAATAAAGGTGCAGGTGCTCATTATAAATTTTCATACAGAGCAGATAGTCAACTAGAGAAAATGTAAAAAAAAAATCATCTGTGGCCATTTTCAAGGGAAAATAACTGGATCTGCAGTAAAGTGATAGCATAGTACAATTAATGTTCCTAATGATGACCGAGGGTTATCAAGAAAGGACTCAATTGTATATAAAATGCATATTTCATAAGACAAGAACATTACCAAGACAAGGTTGTTGCAGGAGTTGTATTTTACAAATACAACCGTGTCAAAATTTTAACACTCTGCCAGTCCATAATCAAATACTTTAATCCAAAAACTTAAAGAAAAAACACTTACATATTTAAGAAAGATGTCACCAATGCTTTTGTTCTCATCCCAATTAACAATAAGGTCTTCAAGGTCATCCTGAAAAGACACAAATCAAAATACTTAAGAATGAAGTTGGTACTTCCTTGATCATCTTTTTATACTTTTCAAGGCATTCATTTTGAAAGTAGGATCAAAAGTGTATTAATTTGATATATAATAATACATTTTTCCTCAATAAGGAATTAATCTTTCACTATGAAAAAAATACTGTAAAAATTAGAAAAATAACATAATGTACCAAGTTAATAAGATTAACTCTCAATATGATAGGATAATTTCTTACTATTAATTTAAGACATTTGGTATCATAGAAAATACTTTCAATACAGCTATTGAAACATCTTCTTAACATCAGTCATTGCAAGCTTATAATAGAGGTCAGCAAACTTTAAAGGAGCAGATAGTAAATATTTTAAGGTTTGTAGACCACGTTATGGTTTCTGTCACAAGTGTTCAACTCTGTCCTTATAGAGTGGAAGCATCCACAGATATTAAATGTACCAATAAAGTGTGTGCTGTGTGCCAATAAAAATTTCTTTACTAGTATTATTAAAACTATCAAAATCCTAAAACTGAGTGGATCTGGTCCATTCATCATCGTTTGCTAATCCAGGTGTATAAAACTCTTCAATCACTATCTCAAAGTTTATTTGCCATATGAAAAGAAGTTCATATAATCTCTTATTACTAGGGAAATGCAAATCAAAACCACAATCAAGTACCACTTTACACCTTTCTCTTATCATCAAAAAGGCAAGAAACAGCAAGTGCTAGATGAGCATGCAGAGAAAAGGGAACCAACCAGGAACCCTTCTGCCGGTGGACTGTAGATTGATATTATTATGGAAAGAAGTATGAAGACCCCCCTCCTCCAAATTAACCGAAATACCATATGACCCCAACTATCCTACTATAGAGTATTTGAGGAATATGAGAGCACTAATTACAAAGAGATATATGCACACCCATATTAATAACAACATTAGTTATAACAGCCAAGAGAACTGGAAATGTCTTCAGAGCCAATCTATGGATGAATAGATTAAGTAGACATATTCACAATAAAATATTATGCAACTATAAAACCAAGATAAAATTCTGTCATTTGTAATAACATAAATGGATCTGGAGGACATGATGCTAAATGAAATAAAAGACAAATGTCACATGATTATATTCATGTGACAGATAAAGAAGCAAACTAACAATACAAATTAAAACAAACTCCCAGGTTACAAAAACAAAATACTCTCAAAGTATCATCCACAGGTATCCTTAAGCCCTCACCTCACTCAAAAATGAATTCAAAATGAGCCATAAGAATGAAAGCTATGAAAAGCTAAAATGTATGAAAGCTAAAATGGTAAAACTTATAGGAAAAAACACCAGAGAAAATCTTAGAAATGATTAGGCAAAAATTTCTATGACATCAAAAACACAGTAAATAAAAGGAAAAGAGTATAAACTGGACCTCATCAAAATTAAAAGCATAGAGACCATTAAAAAATGAAAAGACAACAGAAGTATATGTAAAGTATATGGAAGAAAATATATACAAAACACATAACTGATAAAGCACTTATCAAGAATTTAAAGAGAACACTTACAACTCCATTAAGACAAAAAGCAACCCAATCAAAAACTGTGTAACAAATCTAAGCATACATTTCACTAAAGTTATTATACAAATGGCTAATAAGCATGTGAAAGATGTTAACACCACTAATCACTAGGTAATGCAAATCAAAATCACAATGAAATATGACTTCACATCATAGAATGGCTATTAAAAAGAAGGTATCCACAAAATTGTGGAGAAATGTGAACCTTCATATATTACTAGTAAGTATGCAAAATGATGTAAAAGGCTGATGGCTTCTCAAAAGTTTTGAGTCTACCAATATGACCCATCAATTTTACTTCTTAGTATCTACCAAAGAGGAATAAAAACAAGCCCAAAGATTTGGTACATAAACAGCAGCTTTATTCTTAATAGCCAAAAACTACAAGTAAGCTAAATTTCCATCAACTGGTGAATGAATAGAGAAATGTGGTATGACGATTACCTGTTCATACAAAGGAATAAACTACTTAACACGCTACATCCATAAATGAAATTCAAAAACATGATAAGTGAATGAAGTCAGACATAAGATACCACATACTATATATTACTTGAAATTCAAGAAAAGTAAATTCATACAGACAGAAAATAGACTAATGGTTGTCTAGAGTTAGGGCTAAGATGGAGATAACTATAAATGGGCATAAAAAGTCACATTGAGGCCCTCCCTGGTGGCGCAGCGGGTTAAAGCACAGCACTAAAAAGCTAAAGCCACTTCTGCATGAGTTCGATCCCTGCTTGCCCCGGAGGTGACCACATGGTGCAGCAGACCACTCCTGACATGTCCGCTGCTCCCCTCAGCAGTGTACTTCATCAATCTGCCTGTTCTGCTCCCCACTCTGTCTCTGGTGAAGCCTCTCGCCGCCCCTGAGTCTCTGGCCTGTACCCCAGTTCTGTATGCACAAATAAATAAATCTTTTAAAAAAAAGTCATATTGAGAAGGGTGGAAATGTTTTATGATGGGCTTATGATGAAAGCTACATCACTTGTTAAACTTACTAAAAGCAATGAATTATATATTTGGAAAAAAATTAGTGTGTAAAGACATGTAAAATATATCTCAGTAACACTTAAAAATTGATGCATCTTTAAAATTACTTAATTTTTAAGATTTTAAATACAGTTAATAATGATTGATAAGTCCCACATAAAGAAAAGTTCTTCGATAAATTAAAGAGTTAAAGAGGCCAAGTAATGTTAAGAACCACTGTCATACTCTGTCAAATTCAGAAACTTCAAAGGGGAATGTTACTTCCAATAGCATAAAAATGAACACAAAGTAAACTTTTATATCACCCTACAAGAAACAAGATCTAACTATTGGAAATAAAAAGTAAATGAGTTCATGCTTATATAGTTACATAGCACTTAGAAGAATCTCTAACAATAGTGTTCAGTAAACTATTATTAGTTACATTTTCCTATGTATTTAACAAGTAGAAAGGATATTTGGAAAACTGTGATGGACTACAAAAAAAAAACACCACAACTTACAGCTCTAAGGCTGTGGTAAGCTTTTAAAGTGTAACCATATAGGATGGCTGTATATAGTTAAATAAGAACAATGCTAACAGAAGGCAAAATAAATATTCTGTAGGTACTATAAAAAAAGTCTACTCTGGCCCTCCCTGGTGGCGCAGCGGGTTAAAGCACAACACTGAGAATCTAAGGCCGCTTCCGCATGAGTTCGATTCCCGCCTGCCCTGGAGGTGACCACAAGGCGTGGCAGACCTCTCCTGGCCCGCCTGCTGCTCCCTTCAGCCGTGTACTTCGTCGATCTGCCTATTCTGCTCCCCACTCTGTCTCTGGTGAAGCCTCTCACCGCCCCTAAGCCTCTGGCCTGTATCCCAGTTCTGTATGCACAAATAAATAAATCTTTAAAAAAAAAAAAAAGTCTACTCTGTTTCTGACTACCATTTAATTACTAATGTTTGTTGTTCAAAGACTTCTGCCTTCATCAACTGCTAGCTTAAAACTAAGTAATAGAGTAATTAACTAAGGCGTAGAGAAATTTAAGTAATTTGCTGCAAATCACAGTTGTGAACCAATATTCAAACTCAGATTTGTCTGACTCCAGATTCCAACTGATACACACTACAATTCCTCATCAAAAATAGGGAATCAGGGCCCTCCCTGGTGGCACAGCGGGTTAAAGCACTGCACTAAGAAGCTCAAGCCAATTCCGCATGAGTTCGATCCCCACCTGCCCAGGAGGAGACCCACGGGGCAGGGCAGACCTCTCCTGACCTGCCCGCTGCTCCCCTCAGCAGTGTACTTTGTCCATCTGCCTGTTCTGCTCCTCGCTCTGTTCCTGGTGAATCCTCTCACCCTTTGCATCTCTGGCCTATACCCCAGTTCTGTATGAATGAATAAATAAATCTTTTAAAAAAAATAAATAGGGAATCAGATTGGCAGTTGAGCTCCCCAAGAGTATTATTCACCCTACTACCATTTCTTAATAATGTTTCTGTAGAAAATGTTCAACTTAATTTAGGCCTGCCATTGGAAATACCTTCTTATTGTTTACTTTCTAAAAGGACAGGTTTATTAGTACAAGCTAGGAGATGACTCTTGCATAGTGGGTAAGAAAAAAGCAGGTAAGACTATCTTCTCCATGTCCATAACACATTAGAGAGTCACTTTAGGATTCCCCCAACTTTACCTCCTGGCCATTAACAAGAGAATTCTAACTGTAGTTCTAACAAATAGAGTATAGCTTCCAGATTAGAAAAGTAGACGAAATAGTAAACAGGTGGAATTAGTAAAACTAAGTTATTCTTTACTTCCTCATTAATATTTCTTCTGTCACCATCCACTTTTTTTTTTTTACCTAGCCTACTTTTTTTAAACATACCTTACTGCACAATAGAATAATCACATTCCCCAATATATATCTGCTCCTTAAACAAGGAAAAGGTGCCCTGAGATTTACACTAAATTAACAAAAGATAAGCATAGAAGGAAAAAGTACTCCCTCCAATGTCTTCCTACTATTTTCATAATTCCATATAAAAGAAGGGATTTGCACATCAAGAACCAATGTTGATTAGTACCAAAAAAATATACACATAGGAAGAGAGAGAAGTTAGTAACTTACAAAATTCTCATCTAACCTATCATCAGCACATTAATCTTTGAAAGAAAGGTTTCCAATTAGTGTCTAGATGAGGAAAGGTACTGAATCCCAGCCATGACATTCATATTTCAAAGTAACATGACTATCATTCAGTGAACATTTACTACCGGAAACCTACAGGGAAGAAATAGTTTTCAAACCTCATAAAACTTCTGAACATTACTCACTCAACTTCTGAGTTTAGTTTATTATCAATATGAATGGCATTATTTGATGTTCAGTGTCAGACACTATGTTTAGTAATATATGTAAAAAATTTTTTTATAAGTTTACAGCCACCCATACCATTATTCCTATTTTAGGTAAGAAAGCTGAAGATAAAGCCACCTAACTCCATGCCCAAATTATTCTATTCTATCATTCATATCCTTAACCACTATACTATAAAATATTGATTATCAGTAGTTCTTAGAAATGTTTTATCAATGGGATATGAAAAACTCTACAAACTTGATATATTTACACAGATTACTTGTTTACATATTAAAAGAGTATATCTACAGCATGATTAAGAAGCCAGTAGTGTATTACTAAAGCTAAAACAAGGAAAGAACTTAAGTGTTCACTGATGGATAAAGAGAAGATGGCATATAGTCGTGTGCCATGATGACATTCTGAAAAGTGCATTATTAGTAAAATTTATAGTTGTATGCATATCACAAAGTATAAATGCACAAATTTAGATGGCTACATATGTATCACCAACATATATATGGTGGGTGTTTGACTAAAATGTTGCTGTGAGCACATATTTGCATACAATGGAACACTACTGAGCCAAGGAAAAAAGAAATCTTACCATCTATGCCAACATTAATGAGCCTACAAGGTATTATGTTACGTGATATAAGCAGAGGAAAAAACATACCATGTGATCTTACTTAAAGGTGGGCTCTAGCAAGCAATCAAGAAAACAATCTCCAATACAGGGAAAAAAACTGTTGTCAAAGGGGACAGGGTTACAGTAGCAGAAAGAAATGAAGTCAAAAGGTACAAACTACCAATTATATGACAATTATGTCATAGGTATAATATAACCATAGTTAGTTGTAATGTAAGGTAAAAAAGTTGAAAGCTATAGGGTAAGAAAACTGAAATTGTCCAAGAATACAGATTTTAAAAGTTTTCATCAAAAGGAAAAAAAATTCTAGCTCGGTGGTGATAAATGTCAACTAAATTTATAGTGATAATCATTTAATAGCTACATTTTTCAAACCATTATGCTACATACTTAAAAGTAGTACAAAGAGGTCCTCCCTGTTGGCGCAGCGGGTTAAAGCGCTGCACTGAGAAGCTAAAAAGCCACTTCCGCATGAGTTCAATTCCCGCCTGCCCCAGAGGAGACCACATGGCGTGGCAGACCTCTCCTGGCCCGCCCGCTGCTCCCCTCAGCAGTGTACTTCGTTGATCTATCTGTTCTGCTCCCCACTCTGTCTCTGGTGAAGCTTCTCACCACCCCTGAGCCTCTGGCCTGTACCCCAGTTCTGTATGTACAAATAAATAAATCTTTAACAACAACAAAAAAAAAGTAGTACAAAGATATGTATCAACTTTCATTATATTAGCATAGCAAAAGAAAACAGAGGAATCAAGATAGTAACAGGTTTAAAAGAAGAAATTTTGAAGTTAGACGCACAAGGGTTAAAATCCTGGCTATTGCATTTATTAGCTAGCTAACTTTGAAAAAAATTATTTGTTTTCAGGCCTCTCTGATGGTGTAGGAGTTAAAGTCTCAATTCTATCAAGCTATAGGCAGCCACCGAGGCCTAAGTCCCATCCCTCACCAGGGAGCTAATCTACATGGCACAACAAAACTCTCGGGTCTCTCCACTGCTCCCCTTAGTTCCAGTGCCTGTTCTGCTCCCCACTCTGTGCCTGGTAAATCCTTTTACCCTCCCCCCCCCCATATCTCTGGCCTACACCTCAGTTCTTATATGCATAAATAAAGAAAAATAAAAAAATAAAACTTAAAAAAATTATTCTGAATGGAGCTATTAGCTGTTTCACATCTGTAAAATGTGGACAATAATAACTTCTTTACTGTATTCAACCTACATGTTAGTATTTGATAAATAGCTGGCTATATTTAAAAGAAGAGAAAAAAAAAACAAAAAAGTATAGGTGAAAAAAGACAAAGACAAGGAAGTAATTGGGAGATGGGAATCACAGGTATTTTCTACTCTTTCTCCTTTTTTTCACAATTTGGCAACACAGAGAGCTGCAAATCTGAAATCAGCTAAAAAAGAGTGACAAATCTGAAATCAGCTAAAAACTAATGGAAATATTGGTAATCTAACTTTACAGAAGCTTAAAGATTTCACAAGTGAGAAAACATTTTCAAAGTTCAAATGAATCAGAGAAAAGGCTTTTCTGAACTGATATAAGGATTCTACATTTTATATGGAAAGGGGACTTGCATACCTACACTGGCTAAATGACGCAAATTCAAGCTGATCCATAAATTAGTGATTGGACACCAAAATCAAAATGTACTTGATTTCCACTCTACTTTATATTGGAAAATGAAATAAAAATCATTATGGCTTACTTTGAAAGAGAAAAATGGATCAATTTTGTTAAGCACAACATGGGAAAACAAGGAAGTGAAGCTAAGTTACATTGACAAGTTTAGTTAAAACTGTCCCCAAATTACATTGCATTAGAAACTGATTGTTGGAAATCACGGACCTTTCATCAAAAGAAAATTATTAAGAAGACAGCATTCTTCTTTGGCATTTATCTGACTATAGACAGGAATAAAATAATCTCTCAGCCCCGTTCAACCAACCTCAGTTTTTCAAATAACCCAAAGCAAAACAAAAACATACAACCTGAGAAGAACAGTAGAAAAATGACAAACTTGTTCTACCCACCACTTATCTACTGAAAACACTTCATAACATCTTAGCTATTCATTCTCAAGATATGTCAAAGTCAAAAAATAGGCAAACACTGACAAGGAACTGAAAGAAAAGAAAGAATGAGTCAAAGAAATAAATGCAAAAGTAGTTAAGTTTTATCTTTCAAAACAAAACTTATTACCTAGTTAGAAACAGTTTAAAAATCATGACATGCAGGCCCTCCCAGGTGGTGCAGAGGGTTAAAGCACAGCACTAAGAAGCTAAAGCCACTTCCGCATGAGTTCTATCCCCGCCCCAGAGGTGACCCATATGGTGCGGCAGATCTCTCCTGACCTGCCTGCTGCTCCCCTCAGCAGTGTACTTCGTCGATCAGCCTATTCTGCTCTCCACTCTGTCTCTGGTGATCCTCTCACCACCCCTGGCCTCTGTCCTGTACCCCAGCTCTATGCATAAATAATCTTAAAAAAAAAAAAAAATCATGGCACACACAATCCAAAACGAATTACTACCAATCTACCAAGTACAAATTTACCTTTATCTTAGTATGTACATCAAAGATATCTGGGATACTCCCAAAAATGGTTTTAATCTCTTCTGGTGCAAGAATAGGCCCACCACGTTGCCCTTCCTCTTCCAATGGAACTTGAAATAACTAGAAGAAATAAAAGAGTAGTTTAGATAAATGGTGGGAAAAGAGACAAAAAGCAAAAATATAAATAATCATAAAAATAAGATATTGATGGAAAAGAAAAAAAAATTTTTTTAAAAGCCTCTCCAAATTTTAGACATTTTCAAATCTATTGTATTCTATTTACTGATATATGTGTGTATAAACTCTTATAATTATCATTTTTTAATTTTTTATGTTATTAGAATCTAGTAACACCATCATAATTCTTCAATAAAATTCTTAGTATAACATAAAAGTAATTTCTACTTCTTCACTGACATTAGTAAGGAAAAAAAGTAATAAGCAGTTATTTCCAGACAATATTTAGTAAAAATATTAAATGTTTTGAAATGGTAGTGACGAAACTTGGTTTAGGGTTAAGACTGGATCTGACATTTTAAAAGACCTGTCTCTGGGCCCTCCCTGGTGGTGCAGCGGGTTAAAGCACAGCACTAAGAAGCTAAAGCCACTTCCACATGAGTTCAATCCCTGCCCCCAAGGAGACTCACATGGCGCGGCAGACTTCTCCTGACCCGCCCACTGCTCCCTTCTGCTGTGTATGTCATAGATTTGCCTGTTTCACTTTCCAGTCTGTCTCTGGTGAACCCTCTTCACCACCCCTACACCTCTGGCCTGTACCCCAGTTCTGTATGCATAAGTAAATAAATCTTTAAAAAAAAAATACCTGTCTGTATCCATGTTGTTATTTTTATGAATTTAAAAGAAAAATGACCTGACAAAATTCTTCCAAATACAAAGTTTAGCAAAGTTGCAGGATACAAAGTAAGCACACATATACATGCATGTATGCATGCACGCACACATACACACACATACAATTGCTATATACTAGTAATGTACAAATGGAAAGCACATAAAAAGCATTGTTAATAAAAAATTAATTTAACTATAAATATAATAAAAATGTGTATGACATTAACAATTAAAAAAGGTCTAATAAAAAATCAAGTAATATATAAATAAATGAAGATGTGATCGTGGACTAAAAGACTCAACACACTATGGCCAATTCTTTCTCACACCATCTAAGGATTTAACTTAATGTCAATAATACTTTCAGGATTTGCTTACAAAGAAAATAAAATTCTAAAAATTTATATGGAAATAGAGAAAACTTCTAATAATAAGCTGCAGTATTCAAGGCTATATGGTACATGATACAAGGAGAACATGCAAGGTCAATCAAACAAAATTTAGAAACAAATCTATGCAAACATAGCAAAGTAATTTTTGATTAGGGTGTAAAGGAACTCAAAGGAGGAAGGTCAGTGGTATTAGAATACTATTTGCCAGGCAAAAAAGTGATTAAATGTTAACATTTATATAAAATTTAACTCAAATGGATCAAAGACCAAAACAACAAAACATTAAGTTTAGAAAAAACATGCAGATACATTTAGGACTTCCATTTCTCCTAGGACAGTGAATCCCCACCTGCTGAAATCAACTAAAAATACTCAACAAAACCCCTTTCCAAATATATCAAAAAGCTGAGCAGAAAGTGAGATACCTTCAGAAGTCAAAATCTAAATAAAAGTATGTAGTTAAGTTTTAAAAACCATTTTTTCCCCAAGGACATTTGCCTAAACTGATGAAAAGTTAAGCTTCAACTATAAAAGCCTCAATTTCTAGCCTTCTGAAGTCTAAAAATTGGATTCTAGTAAACCTACTACCTGATTCCAATAAAGTAAAAAATGTATATAACTTATAAAGCAGAAATTCTAGGTTTTTACAAAGTATGTTCTCAAAGAAATATAAATAGGAATATTCACAGCACTGTTAACAGTAAAGTTAAAAAGAAAAAAAACACGGCAATAAAACAAAGTAACTCCAACATCCACTAGAAATAAGTTAAATAAACCAGTATCCTTATACAGGAAAATGAATTACAAATGACTTTACAAATTTGTCTCAAGAACACTTAACATCAAATGAAAATAAGAAATCACTAAAATTACACAAAAATTTTACATTTATATAGTGCTTTTCCTACACATACATAATAGCTCCATAAGGAAAGTGATAAGCACTAAATTCAAGATATTGATTCTCTCTGAGGGGAGGGAAAGGAATGGGTTAGATATACAAAGATATTTATAAATATCCCTTTATCTAGGCTCTAATCAAAAATCCTAAACAAAAATAGTCAGACAAACAAAAAAATCAAGGTTTATCAAAACCTTTCAGTAGTGTTAAGACATGCTGAACTAATCTTTCTTAGAACAGTTCTACTGAATTTGTCTTAAGTATAAATTAGGTAGTCAAAAACTACTGCAACATTTCTCAAATCCATCCTCTTCATTTTCACTGACACTATTCTAAGTGCAGGTACTCACATTCTATAAACAAGACTGCTGAAATAAACCCTCAATTGGTCAACTTGCTTCCACAATTTCCCCTCTTCAATACCTCCTTCAAAGTGAAGTTCTTTCTTAAATGCAAGTCAGATAATATCTTCTTCCAGATAACAGTTCTTCTACAGCTTATGAATGATAAAGCGTACTTTACAAGGCCTTCAATGACATAGCGCAGGCAGTCTTAATTAGCTCTATATTCAAACTCTACATCATACAGTGAGCCTCTTAGTCCACCCTAACCTCACTTTAACCCCTTTAAACTACTCATAATTCTTTATATTACACACATCCTCAATTGTCTGTATTGTTTTCATAATCTCAAATACACTTTCTGTACCAATCAAACCCATACTTTAAAATTCACTTCTATTTTTTTATTACTTTAGCCACTTTATTTAAGCCATCAAAAATCTTTAAGCTGGAAGAATAGTAACTTTCACCTCATAAAGCTCCAAATATACCTTACCTAAATCTCCCTCATGATGCTTATAGCCTTCCACTTGGTGTTATAATGAGGCATTATGTGTTATCTCCTCTTCCAGTTTAAACTCCTTTAAAACAGGAATCCTCCTTAATACCTGGCACAATGCTTTGTATTAAAAAGGAAGTATTAAATGGAATTAAGAAGCTTCTTGGATATTCACTTAACTTGGCAGCTGTTATAATTAAGTTATTCTAAACCAAATTCAAAAGTAAAAGAACGTACCAGTCTTACAATAAAGCTTAAAAAGAACACTATTATGAATTTAGATCACAGCCTTTTAAATTAAACTTTAAGTTTATACTAAACAAAATGGTATGAAAGAAACTTCGCTACAGTTTTAATAATTCCAAGAGTTTCAATTCCAAGGTTTAATGGGGCTCTCCCTGATGGTGCAATGGTTTAAAGCACTGCATTATGAAGCTCTACCAAGCCACTGCAGCACGAGTTTGATCCCCTGCCAGGGAGCTGACCCACATGGCATAGCAGACCTCTCCTGACCCACCTGCTGCTCCCTTCTGCAGTGTACTTTATTAGTCTGCCTGTTCTGCTCCCCACTCTGTCTCTAGTGAATCTTTCACCTGCCACACCTCTGGTCTGTACCCCTTCTGTAAGCATAAATAAATAAATCTTTAAAAAAAAAAAGTTTAGTGAATTTAATTGATACACAAATTAGAATTTGGAAACATCAGTGTGTTTACCATAGACTGCAAAGACATTTCTAGGTAAAAATGCTACCAAACTACAAGAACAGAATCCCAAATGCTAAAGGGATTTCCTGCTATTCAACTATATTTTGGGTAAATATAA